TAAAATTAGAGTACAGGTTGTGAAATAAATTATGAAAATAACCGAGCAAAATGCCTGGCATTTGGTAGGTGCTCATTAAACATTAGTTCTATTTTCCTTTTCATTCACCACTACCCCTATCAGAAACTTCAAATAAAATCAAAGCGGTTTTTTGACCACTGGGCCTAAAACTCCTTACCCATGAAATAGAGATAAGATAACCTACTTCATAGGGTCATGGTGAAGATTAAAGGTGATAATGTCGGTGAAAGTGCCTTGTAAAGTATACACTGTTATACACATAAGGGATTAATACTGTTATTATCCACACTCCAATACTCCAGACTCAACTTTTTGTTTTCCAGTCTGCTTAAATACTGTCATCTTTCCTTCCCAAGTACCTGCCACTCTTCCTTCAATTCTTCATCTGCCTTCTTCTCTGGTCAAATGAACAGTTCCTGAGTATCTGCTGTGTGCTGGGCGCTGTGGTGCTACATAATGAAACCCAGTCTCCCTACTCTCCCCGGCATGGCCTGTCCCTCCACCCAACTCCCTTATGCCATGTGTTTATTATCTCATTTGGCGCTTACCACATATTGCTAGCCATCTTTTAGCCCTTGTATATTTGGATTCCTCTACTAGATTACTGGACTCTTCAAGGACAAAGAATATGTTGTTCGTTGTGTTTTGGGTGTTTTTGCAAACTCCTCAAGTCTAACAGAGTGCTTTGATCAGAGCAGTCTCACAATATCTATCTGTTGAGTGATCGACCAGTTACAGTATTGAATTGAGCCAATAGCTTTGTTTTAGTTACTATGCTTACATTAAAAATTACCAGAAAACTTAGTGGAGTAAAACAACCATTTATTATGTCCTTGGATTCTGTTGGTCAGGAATTTGGACAGAGCACAGAGGGAATGGTTTGTCTCTGCTCCTAGATGTCTGATACTGAAAGACTTGAAGGCTGGAGGCTGGAATCATCTGAAGGCTCATTCACTCACAATTAATGCTAGCTGTCAGTCTGGGAACTTAAGAGCTATTGATCAGAACATCTATATATGGCCTCTCCATGTGACTTGGGCTTCTTTACAATATTGTGGCTGCAAAAAAGATAGCCAGGCGGAAGCTGTGTCCTTTATACGACTTAGTCCCAGAACTCACTCAACATCACTTTTGTCATACTCTACTGGTCAGATGAGTCATAAGTCCATTCAGGTTCAAGGGGAGGGGAAATAAACTCCATGTCTGAGGGCAAAGAAGCCTGGTTCTGAAAGAACATGCAGGAGTGGAAATACTGCTGTGGCCATTTTTGGAAGATACAATCTGACACAAGCCCTTATTGTTCTAAAGAAACACCACCAAGTTTTTCTGTGTTTTAAATTTAAGGGACCATCTTACTCTGAAGTTTCTAAATAGACAACTTGAAATCTAGAGGTCTTTGTTTTGTAAATTGAGAAAGAGAGGCATGGAAAAGAGGTGGGCACAGTGAGTGTGGGTCCCAGCACCTCTGTCCAGTGAATGGTCAGTGGGTATTCAGCACGACAGAATCATCAGTTACCATGTAGAAAATAAGTCAATAGCTCCATATTTGGCATTTGGTTGGAGCTTCTTTTTCTCCCCCAAAAGGTGCCTTATCCTTGATGATATGACAAAAGTTGGCTCACTGGTTAACTTTCCTGCCTGAGACCTGACTCTTTCCTTAGCTCAAATAATAATCTATTCCAAGTGTTGTCATGCTCAATAGCTTACTGATGTTTGCATGGCAAAGGGAGAGCAGAAGGGTGTTTTTTAAGTTTATGAAGGCATACCTTGGAGATATTGAGGGTTTGGTTCCAGATCACTGCAATAAAGGAATATTATAATAAAGTGAGTCACACGAATGTTTTGGTTTCCTGGTGCATATAAAAGTTATGTTTACACTATACTGTACTCTATTAACTGTGCAATAGTATTGTGTCTAAAAAGACAATGTACGTACCTTAATTTAAAAATACGTTGTTGCTAAAAAGTGCTAACCATCATCTGAGCCTTCAGTGAGTCATAATCTTTTTGCTGGTGGAGGGTCTTGCCTCCATGTTGACGGCTGCTGACTGATCAGGATGATGGTTACTGAAGCTTGGGGTAGTTATGGCAATTTCTTAAAAGAAGACAACAATGAAGTTTGCCACATCAATTGGCTCTTCCTTTCATGAACGATTTCTCTGTAGCATGTGATGTTGTTTGATGATATTTTACCCACAGTAGGACTTTTTTCAAAATTGGACTCAATCTTCTCAAACCCTGCCACTTGTTTTATCAACTAAGCTTATGTAACATTCTAAATCCTTTGTTGTCATCAACAATCTTCACAGCATCTTTACCAAGAATAGATTCCATTTCAAGAAACCGCTTTCTTTGCTCATGATAAGCAGCAACTCCTCATCCGTTAAGATTTTATCATGAGATGGCAGCCATTCAGTCACATCTTCCAGGCTCCACTTCTAATTCTAGTTCTCTTGCTATTTCTACCACATCTGCAGTTACTTCCTCCACAAGTCTTGAGCCCCTCAAAGTCATCCATGAGGGTTGGAATCAACTTCTTCCAAACTCCTGTTAATATTGATATTCTGACCTCTTCCCATGAATCACAACTGTTTTTAATGGTACCTAGAATAGTGAATCCTTTCTGGATGGTTTTCAATTTACTTTGCCCAGATCCATCAGAGGAATCACCAACAATAGTAGCTATAGCCTTATGAAATGTATTTCTTAAATAATAAGACTTGAAAGTCTAAATAACTCCTTGATTCATGGATTGCAGAATGGATTTCTTTTCTTGAACTTCATGAACCAACCACTGCTAACTTCAAATTTTCCTTCTGCAGCTTCCTTATCTCTCTTGACCTTCACAGAATTGAAGAGACTTAGGGCCTTGCTCTGGATTAGGCTTTGGCTTAAGGGGATGTTGTGGCTGGTTTGATCTTCTATCCAGACCACTAAAACTTTCTCCATATCAGCAGTAAGGCTGTTTTGCTTTCTTATCATTCGTGTGCTCACTGGAGTAGCACTTTTAATTTCCCTCAAGACCTTTCCCTTTGCATTCACAACTTGGCTAACTGTTTGGCGCAAGAGGCCTAGCTTTTGGCCTATCTCATCTTTTGACATGCCTTCCTCGCTAAGCTTAACCATTTCTAGCTTTTGATGTAAAGTGAGGATGTGTGACTCTTCCTTTCACTTGAACTCTGAGAAGCCTGTGTAGGGTTATTAATTGGCCTAATTTCAATATTGTTGTGTCTCAGGGAATAGGGAGGCCTGAGGAGAGAGAGGAGATTGGGGAACGGCCCGTCAGTGGAGCGTCAAAACACACACATTTATTGATTAAGTTTACCATCTGATATGGGCACAGTCCATGGCACCTCAAAACAATTACAATAGTAATATTAAAGATCACTGATCACAGATCACCATAGCAAATGTAATAATAATGAAAAAGTTTGAAATATTGTGAGAATTACCAAAATGTGACACAGAGACACAAAATGAGCAAATGCTTTTGGAAAAATGCTACTGATAGACTTGCTCAATGCAGGGTTGCCACAAACCTTCAATTTGAAAAAAACACACCATCTGGGGCCAGCCCCATGGCCAAGTGGTTAAGTTCGCACGCTCTGCTCCAGCAGCCCAGGGTTTCACCAGTTGGGATCCTGGGCGCGGACATGGCACCGCTCATCAGGCCATGTTGAGGCGGCGTCCCACATGCCACAAATAGGAGGACCCACTACTAAAAAATATACAATTATGTACTTGGGGGATTTGTGGAGAAAAAGCAATTAAAAAAAAAAGAAGATTGGCAACAGTTGTTAGCTCAGGTACCAATCTTTAAATAAATAAATAAATAAAACACACCATCTGCGAAGGCAATAAAATGAAATATGCCTGTATGTTCTTTACTTTTCTGTGAGAGTTTCAGGATTCCCTCTTATAACACTTCCCCACCCACAACCACCAAAAAAAGAGAAAGAAAATGGATCAGGTGGCAAATAAAGGTATTACAGACCCCAGAGTAGGAAAAATAATCTGCAGGCGTGTGTTACTATAACAGTGAAGCAGACTTTTCCTAGAAAGGCGTAAGTAGAAGTTCTACATGGTCAGTTTAGCACAGAATACTTGTTCTCTTTCCAGATATGCAGCACAGCAGGCAAAACCAGGAGAGAGTAAAGTCTGTGGTCCACCCCTCCTCCCCATGCATTCACACACACACACACACAGAGACACACACACACACACACACCCCGCTAGTGCTTTCCTGCTTTGTCCACACTTAGCAGCACGGGCTACTGTGACAGCTACTCATCCAGGCCTTCTGGTCTGCTAAGAAAATTTCTTGAGTCCTACTTAATTTTCTAGGCTGCTCATCCAGCTTCCCAGAGTCTTGAAGTCACTCTGCTCCACTGGCACTGGTTAACCAGTAAATTAATTATTCCTTCCAGGTAAACTATTTATTATTAGGATCTTCTGGAGGCCTAGATCTTTGGACCTTCAAAAAACAGTAGCAAGAATCAGCAATACTTAGCAAAAACCTTTAAAAAGTGAAAAGTTTTTGACCTAGCAATTAGACTTCTGGGAATATGTACCAGGTAAATAATTGAACCCAAACATGTGTAATGTAGATGTCACCACTATGTTACTTATCATAATGAAAATTTGGAAATCATCTGAATATCCAAAAGTAGGAGAATTGTTAGATAAAATAGAGTATTTCCAGTTAGTTGAATAATGGCTAAGAATCCACATAATGGGATAATATGCAAACATTTAAAGTAACAAATTAGGGGCCGGCCTGTGGCTGAGTGGCTAAGTTTGTGCACTCTGCTTCAGTGGCCCCAGGTTTCTCACGTTCGGATCCTGGGCGCGGACATGGCACTGCTCATCAGGCCATGCTGAGGCGGTATCCCACATGCCACAACTAGAAGGACCCACAACTAAAATATGCAACTATGTACTGGGGGCATTTAGGGAGGGAAAAAAAAGCAAAAAAGCAGTAAAATAACAAATTATATATTTATTGGCATGGAAATTTTTTGATAACATATTATGAGATACAAAAAGTAGGTTACATAGCATAATATAGAAAATCATCTAGTCTTTGTAAATATGTTTTTAATATGTATTTTTTTTCATATGCATATCCTCCCAGGAAAACCCTGGAAGGAAACACAAAAATGTTAACATTGTTATAAAACCTCTGGTAGGTGTTTTGGGATTATTTTAATTTTTGTTATTTTTGCTTATTTGTATTTTCTCCTTTTACCCAATGATGAGTATTATTTATATTTCTTTTTTAGTTAAATACGTTAAAAACTCGTGGTAATGTCAGTAGAAAACATATTTTAACCAGGTAGAGTTTTCTATTTCCCCTCAAATTTTATCCCCTAATCAGCCATCCATTCTGTCTGTGGGTGGTCTAAGTTTTAAGGGACAGTAAGTAATTATTTTACCAAAGTATAACAAGTACAGGGGCCCAGCCGGTGGCATAGTAGTTATGTTCCTGTACTCTGCTTTGGTGACCTGGGGTTTGTAGGTTCACTTCCTGGGCATGGACCTACACACCGCTCAACAAACACGCTCTGGCAGCATCCCACATCTAAAATAGAGGAAGATTGGCACAGATGTTAGCTCAGGACCAATCTTCCTCACCAAAAAAATTAAGAAGTTCAACAAGTACACAAATCTTATAGCTCAATACAAGTATTACTGTCGGTAATTATTTTTAAATGAAAATGGAGGTCAATATTGGCACCTAAAACAAAGAATAAATAGGGAGTACATATTTAGGTGCCAAGATCATGTCTCTCCATTCCCCAAATTCAATCAGAGTCAGATTAAGAGACTGCCAGCCAGGCTACTGTATGGGGAGTCAACATATCAGGGAGCAATCACTCTTTGCTGCTAATGGAATGAGTTGGAGAACATTGTATTTGCCAGAAATTTTCTCAGGAAGAGTGAACCATGAAACTTAAAGAAATACTTGGATAAGGCAAGTATTGGGATGGGGTATTAGACCTCCCGAGAGGCATCCTTCAGGCCCCATTTTCTAAAGAGGGGCATCAGGTTAACTTCAGACTTTCTGATTTGCTGAATAGTGTATAAGAGTTTGGGGACAGCATTAAATTGCTTGGAAATAAAAAGAATAGGATGAGCCCTGATTCCAGTGCCTTTCTTCTATGCTTCTCCCCTGCAGTGTTCACCTCTCCTCTACAGAAATACTTAAAAAGCTTAAAAACTCAACTTATAGGGCTGCCAAATTTTCAGCCTGCCCAGAACATTCACATGTCTCATTTCAACTCTGAATCCAGCACATAAGCCCGCAGGGTTCAAAGTCTCAACAACGGCAGCAATACTGGAGCTTCCGCCTCCAAATGGCATCTTGATAGGACTGTATTTATAGCTGCTAAGTGGCCTCCTGTAAAAACTCTGGAAGAATTCCCATTAATAAGACTTTGATACCAGAGTGTAAGAGGATATGCTATATTCTCCCTTCCTGTACTATATTCTCACCTCTTATTTACTATGAATTGTCCAAATTATTTTCTCTTAATAGTTTGGTTCTATATAGATAAAATTTAGGTAATATTCGAATTGCTAGAAATGTTGTCCTTTGGAAATAGTGCCGTACTGTATGCATTCATTTGTTGAACATCTTCTACATGAGCTTGAAGGAGTTGGACAAGTCAACTGATGACAGCCTATCTGATAGGTATGACGCACAGCACATCATGGGAAGAGAGCATGCCCACCTAAAACACTGAAGAGTGTGAATTTTGAAGGCAGAGGAAGATCACTCGACAAAAGAGGAGGAAAGATCCCTTCCAGCAGTCACATCAACATGTGTGCAGTTTCCCGAAGTGTGTTCCATAGAGGACCAATTCAAAGGGATGCCAAAGGGATGCTAATAGGTAAATTATTAGCAAAAGAATCTGTGAAAAAATGTTTGAAAAACACTGGGTTAAACATTACACAAACCGAAAATGAAGCATGTTTTATTAAAAATAAAGGAGAGGGAAGATTCTTCTTCAAAAATGTCGATGCCATAAAAGACAAAGAAAGGCGATCGCGGCAGCGACAGCGGTATGCCCCTCAGATCTCCTGTCAAGAAAGTACCTGCTGCAAGGAATGCAGTTGACTGGTAGCCTCCAGCTGCCACATCTTAGAACTGGCTGCAGCATTTATGCTGAGGCCACACTTCCCCAAGGCTGCTCCCAAACAATAAATGAGCGTGGAGGGAGACCACAGCCGGGCCACCCACCTTGTGATGGATCTTGAATCTTGTGTCTTCTCTATCTTGACTATGGTGGTGGCTAAACCAGTCTCTACGTGCGATAAAATTGCATGGAACTAAATACACACACACAGATAAGTACATGTGAAGTTGGAGAAATCGCGATAAGATCTGTAGATTGTATCAATGTCAATTTCCCAGTTGAGCTATTGTACTATAGTTATGCAAGGTGGGGAAAATGGGTCAATTATTACTAGTCACCGTGTTATTTCTTCCAACTGCATGTGAATCTACAACGATCTCAAAATAAAACACTCACACACACACACACACTCTTTAATCTTTCCTAATGTGTTAACATTTACCTTTCCCAAGGAATAGGTGTGTATTTTAATGGCATCTAATGGAGACAATGTCTTTATCCAGAAGAGCAGTTCCCATAGCTGGCTGCCTTTCAGTATCTAGGCTAAACTCAGGGGAAAGATATTTTTGTGCAGGCAAGTCTTTTAGCAATGTTCACATCTCACGACATCAGCAGCTGCCTACTCCACCTCCTCCATCTCCCTTCAGTGGATTGAAACTCAAAGTTTGTTCTTATTCATGAAGAGCTCTGCTCAGTCTTGCCCAACTTGGGAACTGACTATCTGTACATTTCCCTGTGTTACAGAGCAAAACTTAAGAAAACTGTTTTATTCTAATTTTTCTCTTTTGAAGGTGAAAGAGAAGATATGTTCTTGAAATGTGTGTCTAGGAGCTCAAAGCATGAGAAAGAAAAAGCCGAATTCAAACGGGTGTGTAAGAGCTTCCTCTCTTACTGTCCTCTCAGCCACGGTGGAGGAGTAAAAGCCTTCTTCTCTGTTGACAATCAATCGACAAATATTTACAATCTTTTCAACAAGCTTTTTCAACCATTACTTGATCATTAGAAAAGACTTCGAACTTCCAGGCTCTCTAAAGGCTTTAGGGATTTAGGTGCAGAAAAATGAAACCATAGACAGTTAATAGAGCTCCCACTCTGCTCCCGGACTTCAACTGCAGGGAGCTTTTAAGAATCAATTTGTGGTTCTGAGCAAATGGGCTCGACTAGAATGAGAACCCAGAACAGAAACAGCTGAAAAAGGAGATAAGCAAATAGAAAAGTCTAATTATTGTTAGAATAGTACTCAATTATATTAGACTTCTTTTAAACTTGAAAAGTATGTGTAAAGCATAAAATAAAGCTTCTTCACTATTTGTGCTTCTTAGCTGAATAACGGAAAGTGCTCTGCAATTAGTACATTGAGTAATTTGCCTTTATAAATAACCTGTGGGCCAAGATGATAAGTGATCTACTTAGGATGCTGATTTTATTCACTTCCCTGCTTGTCTCTCCGTGGTTCAGCAGGTTAGAAATGTGGTACTTGCTTGCAAGATTGCATTTGTTCTTCCAACACTTCATGCTTTCCAAAACTGAGCTCTTAAAACCTCGTACAGTGGGGAGAGGGGATATATGGGAACTCTCTGTACTATCTGCTCAGTTTATCGTAAACTTAAAACTTTTCTAAAACATCAAGTCTATTAATTAAAAACAAAACAAAACCTCATAGGGAACCAGAGTCAAGGTTAGGAATATATCTACAGAATTTCCTTATCTTGTGTACTGATATCCTGGATACCTCCCCTCTCTGGCAAGGATAACAAAAGCCACCAGCCCTCATTCCCTCTGCCCGCCCCCGGAAATTGGCTGGTTCTATTTTAGAAGGAATCTACTAATGGAGGTGGGAAGAAATAGCTGGAGGAAGAGGCCTGGAGACCGTCCTGGAGGGAAGAAAACAGAGGAGATCAGCATGGTTCTTAGGGACCTCACTCCTCAAGAGGAGAGCTAGATGCGACTGGCTGACACAGAAGGTGAGAAGAAAAGAATCCCTGAGAGAGAGCTTTGCACATATTGTCAGTCATCCTCTTTGCATTCTGTAGTAGAGAAAATGGCCACATCTGCTGGAAATAAAGAAGAGACAAGCGTTCTGTGTTGGCCTGTGGAACATTTCGGCATCCAAGACAGGGCAGACAAGACTAGCACAAGGTTCTGTGGCCTGTGGCTGGGTCAGGAAGCACTGGCCAGACACACAGATAAAACGTGTAGGAAAGACGGCAGTTCCTAAGACACTCATCCCTCAGGGATTCCCCTCCCCTGCCTGAGCAGAGGGAAGGATTGGGTTGACTTGGAAGTTCCCACAGGTCACGGGCAAGGAAAGCAGAAAAATCCATTTGCTACAGTAGGACATCCCAGCTCTATCCCATGACTGGGATGGCCCGAGGGAAATACCTGTTATGTAAGTAATCTCTGCAATGAATCACTGAATCATGCAGTGTTGTGAAAACGCTGCATCCTTTGTAATAAAAATTCCCATTAATTTTTTTAAAGTAAACTTAATTTCAGAGAGTCAGATGATGCAACCCATTTCAGAAAGAGTAGAATTGGGAAGGCTCTGCCATGCTGCAGCCTCCTCACTTCCCAGTCCTGAAAAGACTCAGGGACATCAAACCAATTGGTCTTAATATCCCGAGACTTCTGCCTCTACTATGTCACTTTACAGGGCCTGGGGCAAGAAGCTTCACTCCAAGGCCCCCTTTTTAACTGTCTATAAAATGAGGATAATATCTTCCCAGGAGCAGCCACCATATCCATGTGCCACTAGTGATGCTTTATCAACTATACAAATATATACTGAACCCTAAACTGCATAAGTGGAGCCTGCGATGCTAGATGCCAATATCTAACCCGAAACCTCAGATTTTTAGAATGATTCATATGGACTTCTCAGAAATGTCAGTGCAATCCATTTCCCCAATCCTAAAAGCCTGAAGGGTATAGAGCCTGGTAATTTCCTAACGCGGGTCAATGTGGAGGAAGCAGCATCTGGGGGTTTCCGCAGTTCTTTTACCATTCAAGGATGTGGAGAGAATACTGGGAATCCCAGCAGCAACCTCAGTAGTAGAGTTTCAGGATTATCTACGGTGTGTGTGCACGACTGCCATCCACTTTCAATGCACAAGCAGCGATTTCCGGATCCAGACATAGTGGCTGATTGCTCGTCTCTATCCAGCTCCCCTAGATAAAATTAGGAGAACAGGTAATGCCAAAGTCATAGATCAAATTCCAAGTTCCACTCTTCTCAAGACTCCCTGCATGTCCAAGAGATGGATTATGGCCTCCAGTCATCCCGGTGCCTTTAAATGAACCAGCTCGCCCACATGAATGCATGCTACGAGCACATGAAACACCCGCCAGCCGAAGGAATTAGGAATTCGGAATGCGTCTAGACCATTTCCTTTAAAGAGATTAAGAAAGTTGCCCAAGGTCACACTGCCAGTAACTGGAAAGACAGGGATTCAAATCTAAGTCTGCCAAACAGACTTAACAGAGACTGGGTGATGGCGACCACATTGTTGACTGTGGTTCAAGGTGCCCCTTCACAGGAAACACAATGCTGCCAATTTGATTTGACAGGTGAGCTGGTGCAGGCTAAGAGTGCTAGTGTTCAAGAGGCTAATAATAAAACACACACAGACTCTCAGGCCCAGGTGACTCTATACATTTCAAGAGTTGTCATTATTTTATCTGCCATAATGTATCTCCTCTGCCCATATCTCACGTTGTCCAGGTCGCCAGTTACTAAATAGAATTGAAGTCAGTTAATGTGTGTTTTGCCTCTGCTGTGCTTGCTGCACTTACTGAGTATCGAATGGGATTAAAAGAATAATAAAACATATTCTCTGTCCTCCAGCCACTCAATCTAAGGGGCTAGGGGTGGGAGCGCAGATCTGGAAAGGGAAGCAAAAACACAAATATCTGGTATTCAGCCCAGGGTAAGCTAAATGCCCTGAGAGAAAAACCAAGTCCTGTGGAAGCAGGTCCTACCGAGATTTTTCCCAAAGTACCTGGAGTTCTTGGCCAGGAAGTTAACTCTAAGCTCACCTAATAATACTTGTATATCAGTTGACTTCACCTCAGGAGAAATCGCCTGAAAAAAGTCTTAACTTGCTGTTGCCATAAGCCCCTCCTTCTTCTATTTTTTACAACAGAGAAGCAAAATTCTCCACTGTTGTTTTTTGCCCCTGAGCATTCTTAACATGTTGGGACTTAGTTCAGGTCTTTCTGAGAACAGCATAATTGGTAGGAATGTGATCAAGGGCCTATCCACTAGGAATGTACACATGATCTACATGGCTTGGTTCTATTGGTTTCAGTGGCATATTCTCAAGTCACGTAAAAACAGCTCGGAGATTAATGCACGCACAAAAAATTATTCATTTTTTTCTCAGATTGTTGCAGCAACATAGTAAGGCCATTCTCTCTGCCCGGCTTGTGTCAGCACTTTCAATCTATCCCTGTTTTTTCAAGTCTTTCAGACTTGGCTGTGAAACTGCCCTGTGGGTCTGAAATTCAGGAGACGGTATTGTAAGGCCATTTTGATTAGATTTTTGCAAGTTTCTCTGTCTGAGCTGGCTGCTCATTACATGACACCCAAGGAAGCTTGCACAATTCTTAAGCTGCTGTGTTTCTAAAATGAAATGGGATTATCTACCTGACAACCGGGACATCGTTCAGTATTGCTATTTAGGAATCAATTAAAATCAAAAGCTTTGATCCTTTAGGATTATATCTAAAACCCCTTTGAGTTGTATAAAAATTTGAGATTTGTGGTTTTAATCCCCATTTTTATGATATGTGAAGATGGTTTACATTTTGTCTGATTCTCTCCTTCATAAGCTTTTTTCACCCTCTACCATCTGGGACTAAAGAAAATTCTTCACATGCTTATTCTCACCTTTAAGTGGGAGGCCTCGCTCTGATGCTTGGTGATTCGGAGGCAACAGGCACCATGATTTCCAGACAATTTCTCTAAGTTTGGTTCCAATCTAAAATACTCAGATTTCTCATTTCCCTTGGTAGTGTCAAGAATTGGGGCATGTTATCAGAGATGCAGCAATAAGGGAAGTCCACAGATCAGAGCGTTTTCTTTAAGTCCTTTTGCCTGTGGTTTCTGCAGGCTGCAGAGAAAGGCAGTCGGTATAGTGGAAAGTGCATGGGCTCTCAGTCAACAGACCTGGCGCTGAATATCAGTTTTACCACTGTGACCAAGGGCGTGTTATATGAACCCTGGTCTCTTCAACTCTAACCAGTGGAAAGGATGCTTCATTTTAAGAAGTCAAGATGGTTAGAATTCATTCACTTATTTATTTAATAAATATTTTGGGGACCTTGACTGTGTGCCAAGCACATAAACATTGGAACCACAGATACAGTCCCTGCCCTGGGGGAGCCTACAGCCAGTCAGGGAGACAAACCTGAATCCAAAAATGACCCAAATAAAGCAAAAAGGTAGAGTTACAAAATGGGAAGTGCTACAAAGAAAAGGTACATGCTGCTTTGAGAGCATATCAGCCTCACCCAGGGAACTAAGGAGGCTTCCTTAAGTAGTGATGTTGAGCTCAGAATGAAGGATGGGGAAGCATTAGCTAGGCAGAGTTGGGGGTACTTGGGGCAGCGGGGTGTTCCAGTCAGAGAGATCAGCATGTGCAAAGGCCCTGCAGCAGGAAGAAGCATGGCCCCCAAGCAAGACGAGTGGAGGAGAACGTGGAGCTAGGCAACGTAGGGGCCAGAACCAGCAAAGTCTCATAGTTATGATGCTCCTATTAATAGCACTCCCTTTAGCTCTCAAAAGTGTCCCCAGTTGGATAATTATATGATCACACTGCTCACAGGCCGTGTTAATCATGTTGACCTTTTTCTTGAAAGCAGTAAACAATTTTAAGCACGGGAATAACATGATGGTTTGAGAAAGCCAAGGAGTAGAGAATAAATTGGTTTCTCCTATGAGGAGAGGTCTCTCCTATGACTGCATATTTCACATCAGCCTGACGGGGAACCATAGCCTGAAAAGAGCAGTCTTGCCAATTTATCGAGGTACAAGTAACTATCTTCCACAAATAGGCTTCTGATGAAGTTTTAAGAACCAATTTTAAGGTACGTTCAGTGCTATATTAGTCAAGACTCTCCAGAAAGACAGAATCAATAGGATGTGAGTGTGTAGAGATGAAGAGAGAGATTTTACGGAATGGGCTCAAACGATTGTGGGAGGTGGGCAAATGCAAAATCTGCAGGGAAGGTTGGCAGGCCAGAGACCTAGGGCATAGTTGCCATGTGAGTCCAAAGGCAGTGTGTTGGCAGAATTCCCTCTTCTTTGGGGAATCTTTTACTCTTTTTTCTATTAAGGCCTTCAACTGATTAGATAGGCCCACCCACGTTATGGAGGATAATCTGCCTTACTCAACATCTACAGACTTAAATGTTGATCTCATCTGAAAAACACCTTCACAGAAACATCTAGAATAATGTTTGAGCAAATATCCAGGTACTCTGGCCTAGCCAGGTTGACATATAAAATTGACCATCACAAGTGCCTCTTGGTGCAGGTAAATGAGCGAGGTTTTGACCCTTCTGGTTTTTGGAGAGCACATTTCCTAATCCCAATATCCTTGAGATCTATTCCCAAGAGTATCTACTCCCACAGATTCTCATGGCATCTCTGTGCTGGGGCATCAGCTCAGTCAAGACAGTTGCTGAACAGACAAAGCAAAGTTTTAGAAGAGGAAGAGCCAGGCTTTGTCTTGCCCAGGACTCCCACCTACCACAGGCTTCGTTGGTCCCTACAGCCAGAGTGGAGTGGTGAGATGTTCTGGGAAGAGGTGTGGCTGAGAGACCTTCCCCTTTGAGAGTTCCCCCCTTGGAAGAATAGGGCAAGAACTGTTTAGTTTGTCAAGGAAATTCCCTGAGGGAAACATTAACTTTGAAACTTCACAATTTCAACAAGGAAGTTATAAAGGCTGACATCTAAGAGCTGAAAGTCTTCCCCCACATTCTCATTAAAAAAGAAAAGAAAAGAAAGGGAAAAAAAAGACCTCACATAAGTAGCTTCCCTCTGATACTTTTGTGCTTACGTAAAGAAACAGGAGTTATGTGTTATAGTTTCACCACACCAACCGTGTTTGTGATACCAGTTATAATTTCCCCATGGCATTAGCATTTGACTTTTTAATTCACAAAACCCCTCCGTTCTGCTCCTGAAGAGAAAAACGACATGCTCTGGTTTTGTGTGCATATATCCCCTTATTCAAGAAGGTAAGCAAGAGGTAAAAGTCAGAGAATTCACAGAGCATGAGGCATTTCAAGAAGACATTCAGTCTCACACCACACCCATTTTTTGTTTTCTTTTTCCCTTTGTCTTTTTATAAGTCAAAGAGGGACAGCATATTTAGTAAAGGGAAGAGAAAGTTTTTCATGACAAGAATCATTCTGCAGACTGGCTAATTTTTAGCTTCACTGTAGACAGAATGAGAGAAAACGGGCTTAGACTTTGCATGGGTGACTGAAGTTATAGAGAACGATGTGATACTGACAGAACTGCAGAGTAAAAGGGAGTCTGAGAGTGACCGTGGACTCCGCTTCCTGAAAAGACCAGAGTAACAACACACCAGGATTTTCCACACCAGCCATATTAGGACACAGTGGTGTGTCAAACATTTTATCAGTGTGTCTCCGCGAGGATTTTCCCCTCACACATCCCAGGAGCCAGTTGTCCCAGACCTGTAACTGTTCAAAGGCCCCAAACTCTTTCCTTCTTTCTATTGCTCTCTCAGTTCAAAACATACCCAGGACTTTGGGGGGACACAGAGGGTTTGGATTACCTGCTCTGAGGTGTGCCCCCACCCCAACAGCCAGCACCACCGGTGTTCATTAGACTTCCTTTCAATAGTGTACACCAAAACAAAACACAACACAAAGACTCATCTATGTTGACACATACCATATAACCACACAAGCCAACTTAAAAATATATATAAAGAGCAGGGCCGGCCCAGTAGTGCAGCGGTTAAGTGCGCACGTTCCACTTTGGTGGCCTGGGGTTCACCGGTTCGGATCCCGGGTGCGGACATGGCACCACTTGGCAAAAGCCATGCTGTGGTAGGCGTCCCACGTATAAGATAAAGGAAGATAGGCATGGGTGTCAGCTCAGGGCCAGTCTTCCTCAGCAAAAAGAGGAGGAT